CCCCAAAACCCCAAAACCCCAAAACCCCAAAACCCCAAAACCCCGTATGACAAGAGCAAGATTGGTTTTGACAATATAATTAAAATTAATTGGAAAATGAAGAGAGATATATCCCATTTTCATATTGTCTTGAATTGTGGAGATTGTCATTAATCAGCTACTTAGACTATTCCTTCTAAACTTTGGAAGTTGTCTTTCCCTTCCCAACCAGCGATGACTCCACGGGATTCTAAAATGTAGTTCTGGCCTGTCTCTTTCTTTCCTTCAAATTCATCTTGGAGTTCTTCCCATTGTTTAATATTTTTGTGGAGGTAGTCAACTCAGATCTGGGCTTTTGGGATTACTTTCACTAGTTCTTCATAAGCTGGCTGGACTAGAGCTTTAGAGAACCCGATGGAGGAGCCTGCTATGTTCACTGTATTTCTATCCATCAAGTACGAAATCGTTCTGCCTTCAGAATCTTCTCTATCACCTTGCTTGAAGAACTCGTCGTAGAGGAGCCCAGTCCAGGTAAGGGCCAAGTCAAATGGTTTACAGGGGTTTGAGATGTCAGCAAGGTGGACCATCATTTTTATAACCATCATTTTGTCTTCTCCGTCAGGGGAGAAGTCATCTCAGCTAACTCTCGATTTGAATTTACCTACTTCATTGAAGTGATGGGCTGCATCGGTAGCTAGCACAATTTCGATCATGTCCTTCCTCACACTTTTGTAATCATCAGAGCTGAAGTTAGTAAAGAGATTGTAATCAGGATGCTCGATCATCATAAAGGTAGACGCTATATGATGATTCTCTAACGGGGATTTGTCATTATACTCTAGTGCCCACTTCGCTCTCGAGTTTATTAAGTACCCATTGTTGACTCCAGGGTGTTCGAAGTCATGACAACTTGCACTGATTATTATGGACATTAGCTCGTAGTCGCTTATTTTCCCAATTTTCATGAAATCTCAGCCTTGCAAGAAGAAGTATGAGGTCTGGCAGACATCAGCCCCATGTGTCTTATTATGGTACTCTATCCAAGTTGGGTTATAGTTGTCCTGGATCCTTCTGATGAACTTTATGTAGGTGTCAGGGTCTATCTTGCAATTCTGGAATAACATATGCTTGTTCAAGAGGAAGGAACTTAGTGTTAGTAGCTCATTTTCCTTTACTTCATCTTTGAAATCAAAAATGTTGAAATCGCTAATTGTATCAGCTGAGTCTAGCATAGCTTTGGACTCTTTTGTGAGGTTTAGTTTTGAGTCAATGTTGATGCTAAGAAGCTTGCTTTCGATCATGATTTTGTTCTCAGACCCATATTTCTTGTCATCCTTAGATTTCCCTGTAGCGTTTTTAACCCAGGCAAGGGCTTCTCTTTGCTTTTCGTCTGTGACAGAGTCTCCATCTAAGAGATTTATTTCATATAGTTTCCCAGATGAGATCATTTTGATACAATAGTTGAGATCTTCTATCATTCTGTCATCATTCTGGACCATATTCCTAATATCTGTGAGAATTTCGTTGACTATTTCAGCCGGAGAAGAGACATGGTAAATATCTCTGATTTGGTTTCTCTTCCTCGCTTGGCTCTTCTGTCTGATGGAGTCAACCTTCCTGATCAAAATTCCAACTCTAAGTAATCTGAAGAGACCTCTGATTCTAAGTACGCTATTTAGGGTACCATCGTCTATGACCATTTCGAGGATCACAAAGATGATAGCAAGGATTATAACCGTGATATCGCCGATGTTCCACCAATCTTTGATGAAGAGTCATCCGAATCCAATAAAGTTGAGAGATATTTCAACGCAAAATACAAAGAGGAACACTAGTTCTAAAATTTGTAGGCCGAGCTTCAAGTCATCGTTATCCTCTATCTCGTCGTCAATAGCTAAGAAGACAACTACTAGTAAGGAATAGAGTATGATGCATGAAATGATCATAATATCAACAAGCTTGGTTCTCATGAAGCTAGCAAAGGAGATCCTCCAGTCACTGTATCCAAGCTCCTTTAGGTCCTGATTAGTTGCATTAATGTACGTAAGTTTATTTAGCAAAGGGGTTTTTCTTCTCCTTAGCATCTCCTTCATTGGAACTTTTGCCTACATTCTTCTTACTGCTGAGAGGTTCAGGTTTAGTCTGCTTCAAGGAGATACTTTCTTCGATGTCTCTTTCATGACTTTCTTCAGGGTCGGCTTCTTTCTTACTATGTTCTGTGTTGACTCCTTTGAGTTCAATATTGTCTTCGTTCTTGCCAGTGTGAACATATGCTTTGGAGGATAGTCCTGGGAGCTCTTCGTCGTGTTCAGGCTCAACGTTTTGGAGGTGATCTTTAACTAAATTTCAGAATAAAACTCAGGAATTTGTTCTAGGTTTATTGGCTAAAGTAGGCACAAAAATGTAGCTTGGCAGGGCCAAGGGAAGGAAATTAGGCCACTGAGAAGAAGAGGTCTGGGATTCAGAGGTTCATGGTCGGTGGGAACTGGGGTTTAGGGTGGTTGGAGAAGAGGAAAGACTGGTTAGGGTAAAAGAGATTTGAAGAGATTTTGAAAAAATTATATCTTGAGAGCTGGAACGATTTAATTTGATAGCTATTTTATTTTTGATTATAAGTAAATTTTTACTGTTATTCAAAATTTTTGTTCTTTTCAATATAAGTCTTCTAGTGCTAATATTTTGTACATTTTTATCCAGGTTAATCGAATGAAATCTCAAATTTTGGATCTCCACCCATATATAGTAGTTCCAAAAGTTAATTTTAGTTTTTGTCTTTACAGACCAACAACCGGCAGGTTGTTGGATCCTAACGAGCTCCAAATTTGGTTACTAGCAAGGTATAAATTTTGCTACTTTTTAGGGAATATACTAGCATAGGGAATCATCTGCACCATTTGGTGATAGAGAAATAACAAAATTGCTCCTCTTCAAGGGAATTATAAGCTCTTCGACGGATACTAATATGTACATTTGTAGTTTGAGGTGGAAAATCAGGCTAGAAAATGCCTTGTTTTAACTTACTTAGGATATCTTGTTGAGAAGAAGGCTCACTAATCAGGTGGCCATTCGGCTCATTCTCTCTTCGACTCATGTTATAAAAATTCTATTACTCTCTTTCAAATATTTTTATAAAACTCGGGGTTTTGGGGTTTTGGGGTTTTGGGGTTTTGGGGTTTTGGGG